AGGCAATGGCTGACTGTTGAGTAGATGACCCGAATCATCTGGCAGGATATTAAGGACAAGGTATGTTTTTCATGTCTCCGTGTATAAACATATTTTTCATAGATCCCTGTGCTAACAGTTCATAGTTCATTACACCGTTAGTATTTTCGAGATAGTTCGAGGGGAGGTACCATTGGCTAATATATAGGCAGATACCTTGAAGTTGACCTCAAGTACTATGACCTCGTAGGTTCAGCAAATAGGCTCCAGTGACTGCCGGAGAAACAATTGGCTGACATTGGTATAGGGCCTCGAGTACCGTGATCAGACGGACGACCAAGTCACCGTTGATGCCGCAGAGGCCATCAAGAAGTATGGTGTTGGCGTCAAGTGTGCCACCATCACCCCTGACGAGGCTAGAGTGGAGGAGTTCAAGCTGAAGAAGAGCAAGTCTACCACTCCGCGCTATATATTCTGTCCTGTCTTGCTAACACCCTACCTCAGTGTGGCTATCTCCCAATGGAACCATCAGAAACATCCTGTAAGGCACTACCATTAAGCAGCAAAAGCGCGTAGGGAGATTGCTAACACACTGCAGAGGAGGAACTGTCTTCCGTGAACCCATTGTCATCCCTTGCATTCCTAAGCTCGTCCCCGGCTGGAAGAAACCGATCATAATCGGCCGTCACGCTTTCGGTGATCAGTACCGGGCCACAGACCGCCTCATCCCCGGACCTGGCACCCTCGAGCTCGTTTACACACCTGCCGGTGGAGAGCCAGAGCGCATCCAGGTATATGACTTCAAGGGCCCCGGTATTGCACAAACACAGTACAACCTCGACGAATCCATTCGAGGATTCGCACATGCCAGTTTCAAGCTGGCTAGCCTTAAGAGCCTGCCCATGTACATGAGCACCAAGAACACTATCCTGAAGAAGTACGATGGCCGTTTCAAGGACATCTTCCAGGAGATCTACGATAAGGAGTACAAGGCCGACTTCGAGGCCAAGGGTATCTGGTACGAGCACCGTCTCATTGACGACATGGTTGCTCAGATGATCAAGTCTGAGGGAGGCTATGTCATTGCCATGAAGAGTAAGCTTGATCTCGCTCCCTTCGGTCTCAGCATGAGGTGATGGGTATAAGAGTATGTATGTGGTGGTATATGGTGTTAACTTGACTAGACTACGACGGTGACGTCCAATCCGATATCGTTGCCCAGGGTTTCGGCTCTCTCGGACTCATGACCTCTACCCTGACTACCCCTGCCGGTGATGCCTTCGAGTCTGAAGCTGCCCACGGCACCGTCACCCGCCACTATCGCGAACACCAGAAGGGTCGCGAAACCTCTACCAACCCCATCGCATCTATCTTCGCCTGGACCCGAGGCCTGGTTCGTCGCGGCCAGCTCGACGAGACTCCGGAGGTTGTTAACTTCGCTGAGCAGCTTGAGCGCGCTTGCGTTGAAGTTGTTGATATTGAAGGCATCATGACCAAGGATTTGGCCTTGGCATGCGGAAAGAAGGATAGAGAAAGCTGGGTTACCACCAAAGAGTACCTTGCTGCTGTCGAGAGACGGCTGCAGAAGAATTTGGGTGAGGAGACTAAGCTGTAGAAGTAGTTAGGTAGTTTGTTAGATTTGGATAGATGGAATATATTACCAAAATCCTATTCTATTTCTTCACCGATATACCGGATTTCACAAGAGTAAACATAATTAACGACCATACGAGCACGATTTATTCCTCTATAACCGAAGTAACCGAAGCGATATGTATTCATTTCGTCAAATAAAAAAAAAAAAAAAAAGAGGCAGGACGAGCAATATGTCACGTGTGATGTTGTTTCTTTTCCCTTTTCCACCAGAAAAATAACGCCAGCTAATTTGACCAGCAGGGAACGAAAGGTATAAAAGGGGGAAACAAAGGCAGTCATGAAGAAGCAGAGGCTAAGGAAAAGAGTAAACCAAAAAAAATGAGTCAGTTTACTTCTTCTTCTTAGGGAACTTCTCCTGCCCAATCCCCGATCCGCGCAGTTTAACATTCAACACCCTCTCCATCGCGGCCAAAACCTTCTGGTCTGGAGCGGCAGTTCCACGCTCAAAGTCCTGGATGACCGAAACGGTAGTGTTGCACTTTGTAGCAAGTTCCTTCTGACTGAGCTTAATGCCTTCTTCGTTTCGGCGGCGCTTAATCGCATCTCCAACCTCGTGGCCAACTGTCTTGGGCTTGACGATTTCATCTGATCGATCGACCTTTGTCAAATGCTGACCTTCTACGGCTGGACGGCTAGCCTAAAACGGGTGTTAGCTACATTTTTCCTTTAAGAAAGATTTTTTTTTTTGCCTGCCTATTGTCTGGCTACGGGGGATGATGGAACGTACAGAGTTGCCAGTGGCGTACTTCTTCTCAGTGCCAACGATCATGCCAGAGCGTGCGGCGGCGTTAAGAGCAGAACGACCCTTGACGACGGTCTCACGGGGCGCAGAGCCACCACGAGCGGCCTTGCCAATGATAGTGACGGAATCCCAGTCAGACATGTTGATGGACGTTTCTTATCGATAGTTATCTGTTGGGCTGATGCGGGGGAAGGATGGTTTGTTGATGAGGTACGTTCGAGAAACGAGTATCGCTAAATGCAACGCTTTTGTGAGAAAAAGAGCAGTGGCTATTAAGTGAAACCCAGGAGGGAAGAGGTCGTATATAAGGACGGGTAGGAAAAGACGGTGATGCGGATGAGGATGGAGATTGAAGCCTGACAAGTGACTGCGAGGGCTTAAAATATGACGAACGGCGAAAAGAATGGTCGAGAGTCTGATGGCGCTAAAGTCCGAAAGGAGTTAAGACGCTGACTCAGCCGTGCAGCACAGTTTTCACCGCCTCCCGATCCGGATGCCGGTACTGAGTCATCAGATTACTAAGCGTGACGCTTGTTATCCTCGTACGATCCGAGATGGAATTCAAAGATGATAAAGATTAAACAGGGCGAAAGTACCTATCTAGCTACTCTGGAGTACTGGGTATATAACGGTCCAACCATTTTTCTCACAGCCTGTCCGACTTCCAGCCATGTTTCACGTACCGTGCAGCTATGAACAAAGCGGTAGCTAGGGTTAGTGAGATCCCAGCAAAGAGCTGAGCATATAAATATGACCCCTTTCCTAGCGTGACTAAACGACCTCCTATCGGGGCTCCTGTCAACGTCGCAAGAGCTATCAGTATAAAAACCAATCCCACTCGTGAGGGAGAGTTGTTGCGGCTGCTCCCCATGAAACTAAAGACAGTTGGCAGGTAGAGACTCTGAATGGCTGCGGCAGCAAAACCATAGAAACATCCAGTCAGGTAGATGCTCGTTACCGAGTCAACGCCTATCCAGGAAAATATGAAGGTCGCTGATACGAAGACAAAAGGGATCACGGTGTTCAGAGGCCCGAGGCAGGCGTCGCTTATTATACCGGGTATCAGACGGCCCAGCATATTGCAAGTGTTCATAGCTATGAGTAGGTTAAGTGACATCTGCGAGGTCATATTTAGGACATCTTGTCCAAATAAGGATATCTAGATTCATTAGTACCGCACAGCTTAACATAACCTAAGGCTCTGAAGCAAACTTACAAAGTAGAAGCCAAAATACACTCCCCAGAAGGAGAAAAACATTCCTATAAGCATGTTAGTTACCCACGAGACATGGCAAAAGATCAACACTACATACCAGCTGCCATCAATAAGTAAGAGACGTCCTTGAACATCGTCCAATCCATGGTGCTGCTAGAACTCCTTGGCACTCCGGGACGTTCTCGAATTATAATTAAAGGAAAGATCATGGTGATTATATTCACCAGTAATATAACTATAACCAGTCAGACCCACGGTTTGTTCATTTATATCCCCTTTTATTACTTACTCCGAAGAGTCCATCCGAAGCCAACCTTATGGATGGAATAATTAAATATAAGCGGATGTATCACGCCGCCTATGAAGCGTCTTTAGCATAGGAGCAAGAACCGATGAAGGCTGCTACTAACCAAAACTAGATCCTACAGCCGCTAGGGCTGTAGCAATCCCTAGGTTAGTAGAAAAATAGGTCGTGGTCACCGTGACTGCCGAAGTAAAAACAAGGCCCATAGAGCAACCCATGAGCACACCTTGCACCAGAAAGAACTGCCACCATTCTTTGCAGAAACCAGTTAGCAGGATCGTTACCATGAGGCCGGCAGTGCCGCCGCGGAAACAGAGCTTAAAGTAGCCCTTGCTGGTCAGGAGACCAACCAGAAGGAAGAGCCCGAAGTTAGCGAATATCTGGAATGATCCTATCCAGGCGATCTTGGATGGACTTGAAGTTCGCAGCAGGACTTTGGAATAGTAAGCTTGGAAAACACCAAATGCCTATCTCGACAGTTGAATTTAGTAAAGAGCTAGCCACGGCTAAATCAAGAGTGAAAAGGGTAAGCTTATGAGATAGGTTACCATATTTAAGCCTCTGGTATTCATAAATGTAGATATTAGTATGACGCAATTTTTGGGAGTGACGGTTTAGGCTGAACTTACAAGGTGTTGAAAGTGATGAAAAACCCCGAAGCAGCATGGGCCCATGCCATGAAACCACCATCTGGTGGCTCTGAACAGAATTCACCTTGCTCCTCGGGAAAAGACGGGAACCTATCTCCCTTGCTTCGTTCAGCTACCCGGCGGATTTCCTTCAGTTGTCCATAGGACATTGGTTGATAATGTGATATTCCGGGAAGATCAGCTGGAGTGATCGAGATCACAGAGTCAGGTCGAGGGCCTGGTCTCGTTCTAGGCACAGTAAGTCTAGAGGCAGGTCTTTGAACTTGCTCGTTGGCGTATCTCATGGAATACAGAGAACTTGGATCTCGGCCCCAGGGGCTGGGGGAATGAGAGGATGAAACCACAGGTGAGCCGGCGGGTGACCTGGGCCGATTTATAACCCCAGGGCGATTCATATTTAACTCTTGTGGTTCTGTTGCTTGTAGCTGCTGTGGTAATGGGCGGGAAAAGTTCAAGGCGCTCCGCCTAGCAGCATTATTGCTATAACAGCCTTTCGTGAGGCTAGGCGGATTGCTACCATTATGCTGAAAGTCCATCGTCGTCCAGTGCGAGGAGACGTGTGTAGGTGTTTTCGGGTCCAAATAGGGATATACAGCCAAAGCTTCAGTCAAGGGCTCGTAGTGGCGGACAGCCCAGCTTTGTCCTTCAGATAGACAAGAGACAAGATCTGCAAAAGAGTCATGACAATGATTTCCAGCTATATAGGGTATGAGGGTAAATTCTGTTCACTTGGGGGAAATCTGGATTTCTACCTAGATATTCACATATCTTTCTCATCATCACTAGGCTGGGACTGCTAGTAACAAAGACAGTGCATGGTGGGGAGACATAAGAGTGACTTCCTGCCCAAATGGGGACA